TGTCCGTGTTCATTAGAAACCAGTGAAGTATCAGCCATCCTTCTATTGAAATATTTTATTGAATCTTCCAGATATTTCTTGTGCTCGCCGAAAATTGTATTGTCTTTGTTCCAATATTTCAAGAAGTTGTTTATTCTGCATATAAGATTATAGATCTCCATTTTGGATGCATTTTTCATTTCACTTTTGTTTATAAACATTTTGTTGTATTTTTTTATTTAATTATTTTGTTGAATTTATTTTTGAGTTTTGTTCCGTAGACGTCTACTTCCAACGATTTCCAAAAATTGATTGAAGAAATGTTATACAATTTTTATATAATACGTTGAACCAATCCAGTTAATAGTGTGTATTCGGCTAGTCGATCATTTTTTGGCAATTAATTATTTCGTACTTCTTGTACCTTTTTGTTCATGTTTTTTATCTTATTTTTTAATTTTTACGAAAAATAACACAATAAATCAAAAATGCGAGTAATTCAATATCAATAAAAACAAAATTAATTAAAATAAAAACATAAAAACAGTTTGAGTGTTAATAAACTTATTCATTTTTAATTTTCAAACAGTGGCAAGGTGTCAAAGGCCACATCCAAAAAGCATTTTTGATTTATTGTGTTATTTTTCGTAAAAATTAAAAAATAAGATAAAAAACATGAACAAAAAGGTACAAGAAGTACGAAATAATTAATTGCCAAAAAATTAATCAAACTCATAGGTCATAAATGAAAAGTCGCGACGATCGAAAACAACGGCAGTTTCGGGCGACTTCCACGTTCTGCATATTCTTGCTAATTTTGACTTACGCTGCTGATCGAAAGCAACAGCTACCAAAATCAAAAGTAGCTAAAAGTCGAATGCACCGACTTATGCGACTGTAGCTGCTGACGACTTTCGAAAGTCGACGCATGCCACAGCATCGACTTACGTCTACGACGAAAGCAACAGCAAAGCCGAAAGCAAGAAAACGAAAAGCGGCGACTGCTGCTGATTTTTGATTTTGGTCGCTGTTTGATTTTTGACTATGCTTTGACTGCGACTTCTGATTTGTTCAGAAGCAGAAGCAGAATGATTTTTTTCATTTTATAATATCGCTCGCAGTTGAAGTTGTGAAAAGCAAAAATATTGCGACTTATGCTAATTCGACTGCAGTTTTTTAAACACTGCTATATACCCTACAGGGAAGACTGGAAGAGTGGGAGAGTAACCGAACCGGATGAAGTATCACTCTACACCGATGGCTTAAAAATGAGCGGCGGGGTAGGGGCTGGAATCTTCGCCGAGAGCTGGAAGGTGGAGGAATATTTCCGCCTCCCAGAGTCAGCGACAGTTTTCCAGGCGGAGGTCCTCGCGATATTGGTAGGTAGGTAGGTAAAGTGGTGAGGCAGCCCTGGCCGCCTCCAATTGGAGCAGAGCTCCGTTTTGATCCACACCCTCGATTTGCTGTTGTCTGCGCCCTTCTTAGTACCAACCTGTGTCATTCAGGTAAGCTAGGATGGCCGCTACTGGCTGCCTCCCAACTTCTCCTAGTGACTCGAGTTGGTGTGCTCCGAAGTGTCGGGCTCTTTGTCTGTTGATTGCCGGGCAGTGGCACAACAGGTGCTCTGGTGTCTCCTGCTCGCTTGGTTCCTTGCAGCTTCTGCATTGTGTGTTGTAGGGTAGACCCATCTTATAGGCTTGCGTGCCTATTGGCCAGTGGCCGGTGATGGTTGCTGTTACCCTCCTGATGTCCTTTTTGCTCTTGGAGATCAGTTCCGCGGTTCGCTTCTTATTGAATTCTGACCAGCATAGTTTCGATCTTCCTTGCTTCGACCATTCCTTGCTGGCTAGTTGTTTGAAATGGTCATGAATTTCCGTCTGGACCGAGTTCAGGGAGATCTGGATGTCTGTTGTCGCTGAGTGTTCTACCGACCCTTTTCTGGCCAGCTCGTCTGCTTTCTCGTTTCCGTCTATGTCATTGTGTCCGGGTACCCAGGCTATTTGTACCCTGTTTTCCTCTGCGAGTCTGTTTAGTGCCCCTTTGCATTTGGCCACTAGTTTTGAAGTCGTCCGTGCTTGTGCGAGGGATTTGATCGCCGCCTGGCTATCCTCACCTTGGTATTCCGAAGGCCTCGGTCTAGCGAAAGTTCGGCAGCTTTCAGTATCGCGAGAACCTCCGCCTGGAAAACTGACTCTGGGAGGTGGAAGTATTCCTCCACCTTCCAGCTTTCGGCGTAGATTCCGGCCCCTACCCCGCCGCTCATCTTTGAGCCGTCGGTGTAGAGTGATACCTCATCCGGTTCGGTTACTCTACCTCTCTTCCAGTCTTCCCTTGTAGGGTATATAGTGGTGTATGTGTTACCGAATCGCAGTTCGGTTGTCATGTAGTCCGTATCTAGTGTCTTCCGATAGTTTATCTCATTAAGAATCCTGCAGTGTCCGGTGTGGTAGTCATTCCAGCTTTGACTAGCCTTAAGTCGTGCCGCACCTTGTGCTGCAGTGTTCCTGATGAAATGCTCAATCGGTATTATGTTCAGGATGGCGTTCAGCTCCGCTGCGGGGCATGATCTCAGTGCTCCCGTGGCTCCTGCGCATGCCGATCTCTGTATGCTGGTCAGTTTCTGGACGTTGTATGCCCTTGTTAATGCTGGCCACCATACTAGTGCTCCGTATGTTAGTATGGGTCTTACCACCGCTGTGTAAAGCCATATTATTATCTTGGGGTGGATGCCCCAGTTCTTTCCGAACATCTTCCTGCAGAAATAGAATGCTATGCTTGCTTTCTTGACTCTCTCGTTGATGTTTTGTTTCCATGAGAGTTTCGCATCCAGTATCACTCCCAGATACTTTGCCTGCTGTGACATCTCTAGTTCTATGCCATCTATCTTTGGCTTTGTGAATCTTGGGACCTTAGTTCTCCTGGTGAAGAGAATTAGTTCCGTTTTGCTTGGATTTATGCCCAATCCGCAGGCTTTTGCCCATGTATTGAGTTTCGTGAGTGCCCTTGTCATTAGTTCGCTGATGACGTCGGGGAATGGTCCTGAAGTGAGTAGAACTACGTCGTCTGCGTATGCTACTACTTTTACTCCTTCGCTATTTAGTGTTCTTAGTATGTCGTCCATGTTTATCAGCCAGAGCAGTGGGGACAGGACTACCCCCTGAGGTGTGCCCCTCTTCACAAATCTTGTGTGATGAGTGCCACTCAGTTCGGCTGTTATCCTCCTGCTCGTCAGCATTGCGCCAATCCATGCCCTGATGCCTCCCTCTACTCCTATACCGTTGAGGGAACTCAGGATGGAATCCGCATTGACGTTATTAAAGGCTCCTTCTATGTCCAGAAAGGTGGCCATGGCGTAGTTTTTGAAAAGTAGAGCCTTTTCTATGTATCGCACTACGTCGTGTAATGCTGTTTCCGTGGATCTGCCTTTCCTGTACGCATGTTGCGCATTGGAAAGGTTTTTCTCCGTTCTTTCACTGATGTGGATATCATTAGGAAGGAGGTAAGGCTTATCGGCCTATAATCCTTGGCTTGGATGTGTCCCCTTCTTCCTGGTTTTGGTATGAAGACTACCCTCGCTTCCTTCCATGGAAGTGGTATGTGTGCTGTTTTAATGCATGCCTGGAAGATTGCTTGCAACCATTTTCCCGTGCTTGCTTTCGTTGTTTGTAGCATTGCCGGTATTACTCCGTCTGGACCCGGGCTTTTATATTTGTCGAAGGAATCTATCGCCCAATGGATTCTTTCCATGGTGATGATATCTTCTACTTGTAGCTGCTGGTCTGCCCCCTGGCTTTCCATTATTCTAGGTTCTTCTTTTTGGTTTCCTGGGAAATGCGTATTCAGCAGGATTTCCAGTGACTCTTCTGCCGACGTACTTCCTGTCCCGTCGTGTTTATTTATGAGCGTGGGGCTTGTGTGTCCTCTCGATAGGATTTTACTTAGCCTCGCCGTATCTTTGACTCCTTCAAGCGATTCGCAGTAGCTGCTCAAAGATTCCTTCTTGGCTACGTAGATTGCCTTTTTGTATTATTTGTGTATTGCTTTGTACGGCTGCCAGTCTTTGGTTCCGTAACTAGTGTTGAAGGCTTTTTGAACTTTCTTTCTGAGCTCGCTTAGCTCTTTGTTCCATCATGGTGGGTATGTCTTCTTTGAGTATGTTAGTCTGCATGACTCTTAGTAGGCTTTGTTCAGAATATTTGTGAAGTCCTCTACTTCCTTGTCTATTCTCTCTGGGGTGGGTCGAGTCTTGATCCTTCTGTCTTTGACCTTTGACTGTACAATCTGTCCGTATTTGTCCCAGTCAGTGTTACGAGGGTTTCGCTTCGGCACAGTTTCACATATCGGCATCACAATTTCGAAGAATATGTATCTGTGGTCTGAAAACGAGTCTTGTGTAGAGACTCTCCAGTTTCTTACCTTATAATCGCTATGCTCCATTTGGAGGGTTATGTCTAGGACTTCTTCCCAGCCTTGAAATCCTTCCGTACTTGGAAAGATGAAGGTGGGCGTGTTTCCCTTGTTACAAATAGTGACGTCACGACATATAATACTATCGAAGAGAGACTCACTCCTTTCGTTTGTTTCCTTACTTCCCTACAGTGTGTGCCTTGCGTTGGCATCGCACCCGAGGATGAGCGTCGTCTTAGTCTCCTCGGCCCACTGCATCACCCTATTAAACGGTTCAGGTGGTGCAGGTTCGTCGTGGGACATGTATCCGGAGGCTATTAGTATGGCTGTCCCATCCGCCGCCTTGAATCTTGCCACTGCTAGATCTAAGTTGCTGAGGTTGGGGTAAAGAAGAGCATTAAGATTGTTTTTAACGATTATACCCGCCCTCGGCCTACCTGTCGAGTTTGTGTATAGTGTTGTGTATCCCTTTATGGCCATGCCAGAGATTCGTCCGTCTCTAGTCCATGGCTCTTGTATAAGGCCGATGTCGATGTCCTTCTCCCGGAGAAGGACCCCCAGATTAGCTGAAGCGTGGGAGCTGCGCTTCAGGTTTATCTGAACGACCGTCGGCATTAGATTGGGGTGGTGTTGGGGGAGCTGTCATCGATCGCCAAATCGTCCAGCAGCTTGTTGGCGTCCTCGACTTCGTCTTCTAGTATATCGTCCGGTTCGTCCAGGAAGACCTTCACCTTGGCTTTCCTGATGCCGTACCGGACTTTGTTGTCAGCTGCCGTCAGCTGTTCTAGGCAGCGCTGATTGATGAGGAACAGATATGGCTGGCTGGACTTCATTTCCTTTTCAGCTTTGAGAATGGCCCAGTCCTCCATATCGACTCCCTTGTTCATTGCTCGCAGAGTCTTGAGCACCCTTTCATGGCTAGACAGCCCCTTGGGTAACCAGATGCGAGTTCTGGGTCTCCTTGGGATGTCCCTGGCGGGGACCAGCTTAATGCTAATCCCCTTCCATGCCTTGCCTAGTCTGGCAACGCAATCCACCCGGTGCCCCCTTACCATGTCCGAGGAGTCAAAGGAGGGTGACTGGCCCGTTGGCTCGGACAGTAGTTTGTCAGTTACCATCTCTGCCAACTGGGTCTCGACCTCCTCCCATTTCTCCATCAGAAGGCGTCCGTCGTCGTTGAGCTCATCAACAAGTGCCATAGCGAGGCTATCTCGGGCCACCTCGCTGAATTTCTTCGCTGTCTTGACGAAAGTTGTCGGTCTTGGGGCGCCCTTCGCGTCTTTGGCTCTCTTCGGAGCGCTCTCGCTCACTTCTTGTGAACGGTTGCGCTTCGTTTGGGGAGGCAAAAGCGTATCTGGGTGCTCCTTTTCGAATCGCTCATATTCCTCGATCACTGCGAGGTACCTGACTTTGTCTGCTAGGTCGCGCGGATCGGCTTTGCCCTCCTTTTCGTTCCTTGCTATTTTAGCGAGGATGAAATGGGCCTTGCTGGCTTGCGCCTTTCTTTGTTGGTGGGTCCAAGGTTTTGACTTCCCGTGTTCGCCTGTCGCTTTGGCTTGGCTTGTCGCTGCTTTACTTGTTGTTGGTCGTGCCGCTTGAGGTGTGCTGGTCTTAGCACTTCCCTCTGAAATGGACGGAGCCAGAGTCTCATCATCTGAGCGCAGTAGCTCCTCCTCGTCCAATTCACTATCAGTCGCCGGTTTTTGGGGTTTTACCTCCCCCACGAGGTCCGAAGCGGATTTTTTTGTTGTATCCATGTTCATAAACGCCCGCGTTGCTCGACAGGGCGAGCGCGGCGGGCCCGAGGGGTTTGGGGCATTGAAGTAAGGTCGACCGTGGCTTCGCCCCTAAGCCACGGCAAGGCTCGTTCCGACCTAGGGTTGCCCGGCCCTAGGAAGGCTCCGTTCTAACACAGCTGGTTTACCCCTCAGCTGCAAACCTTATAGTCAGTGGGCACGGGTCGCTTTACACGCCTGACTTGAGGGGAGGCAGTTTCAAGACTTGCCCATGTCTTGGTAGGGATTGGGAGTCAGAGGATTATTGGGTGCGGGATTCACAAGAGGTGCCGCTCGCATTGGCCGTACCGTAGTACGTTTCCAGGAGGTACCGCGCGGAGGACCTTCTCCGAAGAGAAGGTGGTGTCTATCAGACTGATATTCACCTGCGAGTCGACTTGGTGTTACATTTGAGCCAAGGAATATTCATCAACAGTTGCCCTGTTGACTTTGCCTTGGATTGTCGCACCCTTACCACCCCGCGAAATTGAAAGCTGCCGAACTTTCGCTAGACCGAGGCCTCCGGAATACCAAGGTGAGGATATACTCGTACAAGCACAGACGACTTCAAAACGAGTGGCCAAATGTAAGGCGCACTAAACAGACTTGCAGATGACAACAGGGTACAAATAGCCTGGGTACCCGGACACAATAACATAGACGGAAACGAGAAAGCCGACGAGCTGGCCAGAAAAGGGTCAGAAGAACAATCAGAAACAACAGACATCCAGATCTCCTTAAACTCGGTCCAGACGGAAATTCATGATCATTTCAAACAATTAGCCAGCAAGGAATGGTCGACGAAGGCAGAGCACAAAAGATCGAAACTATGCTGGCCAGAATTCAATAGGAAGCGAACCGCAGAACTGATCTCAAAGAGCAAAAAGGACATCAGGAGAGTAACGGCAACCATCACCGGCCACTGGTCAATAGGCACGCAAGCCTGTAAGATGGGTCTACCCTATAGCCCACAATGCAGAACCTGCAAGGAACCAAGCGAGCAGGAGACACCAGAGCATCTGTTGTGCCACTGCCCGGCACTCAACAATCAAAGAGCCCGACACTTCCTCGATCCACACGAGCTAATCTTTTATCTTGTTTTGTACCAGGACCGCAAAAATTATAACCAGGTAGATGCGCCTCAAAGGGAAGAGCATTCATTATACTATTTACGAGACCTGCACCCTGTTTGACATTAGTTTTATGACTGTTTATATAATATTATAAAAGTGTTTACCCATTTTATAACAACCTCAATTATCAAAAGTTTGTCATTGAATGAAGTATTTATCTCAATAACATGCGTTTATTAAGACAAAATAAAAGCATCATAGAAAGAAACATTGAAGGTGGAGGACATGGAGAGAAGAGACCTCCACGCCACAGCATTTTGTTGCCGAATACAATTAGAGCTTTCATTATCGGTCCATCGAATAGTGGGAAGACTAACGTGATGATAAGCTTACTCGAGGATCCAAACTGTCTTAAATTTGAAAATATTTATGTGTTTTCAAAGAGTTTATACCAACCAAAATATCAATACTTGGAAAAACTAATAAAACCAATACAAGGAATGGGATATTACACATTTTCGGATAATGAAATAGTTTTGTCGCCACAGGAAGCTAAAAGTAATTCAGTATTTACCTTTGATGACGTCGCTTGTGAAAAGCAAGAAAACATTCGGAACTATTTTTGCATGGGACGTCATAGAAATATTGATTCATTCTACTTATCACAAACTTAAACACATATACCAAAACATTTGATACGTGATAATGCCAATTTTATTATAATGTTTAAGCAGGATGAATTGAATTTACGAAACATTTATCGAGACCATGTTGTTACTGACATGAATTATGACACTTTTATGAAAATTTCTCGAGAGTGCTGGATGGATAAGGCTTTCTCCTAATTTCAAAGGATGATGAAATAAATACTGGTCGATATAGAAAAGGCTTTGATCAATTTATTATTTTACAGTATTTAAAAATCATATATCTCTTTCAAAATGATGATAAGTAAGACAGCTCAGAAACAAGCTTCATAATGTCTACATCGGTAACAATTGCCTTAACTGGAAATACTTCAATTATAAGCGAAAACTTTTTTCAACAAATTGAATAAAAACTTAATTATAAATGTGCTCTCATTGATTTTTACAGTGTCTAGCAAAGGCCACGGTTCAACTACTTCTGCCCTAAAAATCCTAAGGAAGTGAGCCGTTAGCCATGGGTGGAGGTGCCTTGCGGAAGGCATAAAACGCAAGTGGGTGGTACCCCTGAAAAAGAAATCATTCTGGAAAGTTTAAAGGAAGAAACCAGGGCTGGGATGTCAGCCCAAACGTCGGTGGAAGGCGTGACCGCTACCACCGGCGGCCAAGGCAGGGAGCAATCCTCTCTGCGTGTCGCCAGCGGTTACACCTCTGATGTGACGGGAGCAGGTCATGTCAGTTGCAACGCTACTGCCGAAAAAACTACGCAGGGGAAGTTGAGCCGCTCACGTGCCATAGTCGATACAGACTCGGACCTTGAGAGCGTGCAGGTTCTCCACTCACCAGGCACCAGCTTCCAGCGCAGGGACGGGCCAAAGCGGTCAAGCGAGGGAATGAAGTCCAAGACGCTATACAAGGCTGCCCTCCGCATCCAGGATCGGCTCCAAGAAAAAGCCGCCCTATCCCCAGAGAAGGCAAAGCTTACCTGGGCTGAGGAGAAAATCGTTGAGGGGAGGCTTCTCTTTGCCAAACTACCCCACATGACATCGACTGGCGGATTCGCCAACAAAGTGGAGGAGACGCTTGCCAACAAAAGGCAACGCTCAACCGAAAGCGACTCTATGGACGCACCGGGGAGCAAGCGGCAACGCGGGCCTAAGGAGGCAGGCCCTCCCCAAAAAAACCGCAAAAGTCAGTGAGGTGACCAAACGACACTTGATCGTGGCCCTCATTGACAGAAGCGATGAAGCCGGTAAAATGACCGAGGCGCAGTGGAAGATGGTGAATGCGCGGCTCGTTGAGTCATTGTACGCACGGATGGGGGATGATCCCGAAGCTCCCATGCTCACCTTCGATGGCGCTGGGTGGCTTAATGGGGTCAAAATCCTAAAGTGCATGGATGACCCGACGAGAAAGTGGCTGACGCAAACGGTCTGCCAGTTGGAGGCGCTGTGGGAGGGAGCCAAGCTAGAGGTGGTGGACCGGGAGATAATCCCATCCACTCCAAAAGCGAAGGTACTCTTCCCCATCGCAATCCAAGCGGACCGGGCGCTGAAGCTGCTGCAGCGTCAGAGCCCGGATATCTCAACCGCGGACTGGAAGGTTCTGCACGTTGCGGCCCCATCACCCAAGGAGGGGGGCAAAGTGCAGTCCTCCAGATAAACAAGGAGGCAGAGGACATCCTTTATCCCAGATACGGGAAGATGGCGTGGGGCATGGGTAGCGTATACCTGCGCCTCAAAAAGCGCCACCCCGGGGATAAGGTTGCTCACACCCTGAAGGCAGATGTGGTGAAGAAGGACCTAGGTCTGGAAACCATCGTGGATGCCGACCGGGATATGACGCTGAATGAGTCCGACGAAGGTGAGGACGGTGACCTGACCATAGTAGTCAACCCGTCGTATGGAGGTAAGGCCAGTACCCATGACACTCAGGGTGCCGCAGCTCAACCCCCATAAGAGCAAGGTCGCGTCGGCGGAACTCCTCATAGCCATGGTGCAAGGATCCACATAGCTTTTGTCCAGTAGTCATGGATCGCCTCAGGCAATTCCATCGCCGGACTGAAGTCCGCAAATTACAATTAGCTCCATCCACCAACGGTAAGAAGGAATAGAACCGCCGTACTTGTACGGAAGGGTCTACACGCTAACCTTATGTCTCATTACAGCTCTAATGACCTGACCGTGGTGATGCTAGAGAGCGGGAAAAAGGGCCTTTTGGTAGCTTCCTGCTACATAGCACACTGCAGGACGGCCCCACCAGAAGAACTCATGAGCTTGGTAGAAGCCAAAACAATCAGTCTTCAGGAAGCCCCGGAATACTTTTTTTTTTTTTTTTTTTTTGGCTTTGCTTTTATTTATTGAATCTTCTCATTTATGAGACTAACAATAAGTGTATCAAATCTTACAATACTACCTAACTAGCAGTCATGAGACTGGTACAGAGTAAATGGCCTTGACTAATTATGGCTGGGTTGGAAGGTCGTTACGTAGTAGGCGGCTTCTTCTGGAAACTCGTATCAAGTCCCTTGCTAAAGGATTTGGATGGGTGGAGAGTTTTTCCTTGTATGACGCTTTTTGTTTTTCTATTTCGTTCTTAACTGCAGGAATGCCGAGATCCCTGTGGATGTGTTCGTTGCGAATATACCATGGTGCCCCAGTGATAGTTCTCAGGATTTTTGATTGGGCGCGCTGTATGATGTCTAGATTGGTGCTGCACGCGTTCCCCCAGAGCTGGGAGCCATACGTCCATATTGGCTTCAGTGTGGAGTTGTAGAGCAGGACCTTGTAGTCCAGACACAGGGGCGATCGGGAGTTTATGAGCCAGTGGAGGCTGCTTGCAGGTATGTTACCACGTTGACTCCGGGGATCTGCGTGCTGTTCAGGTAGAGCGGAGGGCATGTTTGTCTGTTGAGAGTGAACGTTATGTGCATACACTTTTGTTCATTTATTTTAATACGCCAATCAGATAGCCACTTCTCGACTACCTTGAGGTGGTTGGCGAGCTGGGTTGTTGCCCGGACTGGACATCTGGAACGGCTGAGGATCGCAGTGTCGTCAGCGAAAGTGGATAATGTTAGCTGGTCGCTTGTGGGGATATCCGCTGTGTATAGGACAAATAGGGTAGGCCCAAGTGCGCTTCCTTGTGGAACTCCAGCTTCGATTGAATAGGTGCCGGATGTTGTTGCGTTGCACCTCACTGCGAAGACTCTGTTGTAGAGATACGACTCAAGTAATTTGTGTGTGTATGCCGGCAAGAGTGTTTT